GCTGCCTGGCCTGCTGTGTTCCTCCAGCTCCACACTGTGTTATCTCTAATAATATACAGTGCATAGTTCAAGAGGGCAGCTCACAATCACCTTCTCCTAGCCAGCAAGTCTACATCCAACAAGTGAATAAAAAATGTTTATTTGTGCTGAGGAGGGAGGGAAAAGTCCTACCTAATGGGGCATGCTGTGAGAAGCCATGGTCCAGCAAATTCTAACTCTTTATAGCAAGCCACAAATCATTGTAAAAGTCCCAACTGGCAAACTATAAACGACGTGAGGACTTGTTAAGATTAGAGCAATCAGAGAGTTTTGGTTTTGTTGTTACAATAAAAAATATCATTGAAAGAACCAGTTAGCAAATGGAAAATAAATGCCAAAATCAAAACAAGTCAAAAAAGTGCCAAATATTGCCAAGCCTTTGTATGACATTGTTATATGAAAGTTGAGAGCAGAAAGGATTTTATAAAAATAACAAGTACCTGTCAATACAACAGTAGTTGCAGGAATTGTACGTCGGCCATTGACAAGACCATAGAAATAAATCACATAATTAGTGCCAGCTATGAGGTTGGAGAGTTGGGTGGTTTGCACGTTGCCTGGTATTGTGTACTCCAGTGGCTCTGTGAACCTGTCAGAATCTATAAGTTCAATGACAAAGCTTTCAAATGCCTTGTCCTTTCCCATCCAAGAGAGGCTGAAGCTGTTTGAGGTAATGTCTGAAACCACTAGGTTGCCCACTTCAGGTTCTGCCTCTATAAGGATTGTTTTGGAAATAAAACTTCAGCACTTTTAAAGCAACACAACAAAAGAATACAGATTAGCTCAGAATCAAGTGACATAGCCTAAAACTCAGATGATGCTTGTCATATCCAATAAGTCACATGTCTCTAGATTGTCCTGCTCTTGTCTACTGGGACCAGGTAATTTGTACCGTGATATGAAATTTCAATTTAAGAAATAACTACGCTACTTGAGAAATCCATATCCTCTCTCAAACTCCTTGACAATAACCCCATTGCCATAATGTTTAAGATCATTAAGGATTAACTTCATGATTCTGCAAATATCTTTAACATGTGCTTTTAATGTTAACTTTGAAGGATCTATCTAGCTTCAATCAACACTACACAATTAAAGGAATGACGTGTCTGCATTGCTCAGCTGGATTACATGGTATTTTGTTTAACTTCTGCAAATTAAAATACCGAACAAAATTCTTGTGGCTTCTCCTTTACAAGGAATATACAATCTTATTGTTGTACTGACAATTTTACTGCATGCAAGAATGTATTTTAACATAGCTGTTGGTTGTGAGTTGGAAGTTTGAACTGTGGTGGCATACTATTTTGCTCTAATTATAAAGAACATCAAAAATTATAAATTGTACTCAAAGATACATGCATGAACTTTTAACATGTAATAAAGAAACGGCATATCTTCACATGGTAGCTACTATCTGGAGTAGGTTTTTGCAGTAGCTTTGTATAGCACACTGCTCTTTTTGCGCTAAATCTGGATGATAAAGCCTTATTCCTGATTTTTTTTTTATCTGAAAAGAAACATATTATTGAAACTAGTGAGTAGTTTTGCTATCCAAATTTTAGGAGCACATGTAAGAACTATTGGTAACTAAACCATCATTAAGATTAATAAGATTAAAATTAATAAGAGAAAATCCAAATTATAATTAAAGTACATTTTATGTTTCATTAAGATCAACAAGCAATTGCATTATAAAAACAAGTTTCTAAAAGAATCATGTATTTCAATTGACAGCTAAAAGACTCCAACTGCAACACAAATACCTGTTGTAGCAAATGCACTAAGCGTTTGAGTTTGCTGTCCTTGATAAAGACCAGAGAGGTAAATGACATAATCAGTGCTGGCTAACAGCTTTGAGATGCCAATAGAGCGATGGTTGCCTGGGACAATGAGCTCCGAGGTTTCGAAGATCCTGTTAGGATCTGTTACATCTACTACAAAGCTTTCAAAGGTGCCATTGGCTGTCCAAGAGACAATGAAACCATCTGAAGTAATATTGGAAATCATTAGGTTGCTAAGTTTGAGTTCAGTCACTGAGGAAAGGAAATAATTGAATGAAAGAAAACATTCAGTACATCTGAAATCAACAATGCTTTCCAAAATGCAATCTACACATTTCAGCATTAACTGGATCTTACAGCTCAACACATCTGATGTTAAAACATTGATATTTGGTGCTGCTGATGAAATCTGTGTGCTCAGAAGAAAGATTCTTAAAATGATACAATTTTCTGAACTCAATAAAACTCGATTGTTAAATATAAATAGAAGTGACCTGAGCTCTTTGGGAGTTGTAACATTGCAACTAATGAATAAGATCAAATGCTGTTTTTTTGATTTTGTGAAAATGCATCACATGATAACAGAAATATAACAAGCTTCAAAATCAGGAGCAATTCATTCAGACATATATTTTCTTAGCATTAAGATGAAAATTGTGTTTTTTGCAGACAAACTATTATTGAATCATATTCAAAATGCAAACATCAAAGTTTTAATGTGTGAGAACCTTAAAATATGGACAAACTATTTCCCTCATTTAAAGGTAATTACTTAACATAAATATGCCAAGTCATACTAATAAGCTTTAATTGTTTTACCATTAAGACCAGATATTAACCGAGAAAATAGTGTGGCAATATTACTGGATAAACATTTAATACATTCATATAGATTATCTGTTCTAGCAGAGCTCATATATTAATGGTTATTTTAAAACAACAGCCAAAAGGCTGTCACATGAACTTGTTAAGGATTTATCTGCTTTCTCCAACAGAAAAATCTAGTCAATCTTCTCTAACGAATGTGAATTGGATGAATGTCTGTGTTAGGTGTGAAATGCTATCATCAAATGTGAAATAATGTCTTTCCAAAAAAGTGGAGCTGCAGAATATAAAGAAATGCAGTGTAGTTCTTGAGTTGTGAGTTGACTTAAGAAGTTAGCACTCAACATGAGCTGGTAGCTTAAGTAGTTGTTCAACTGTAAGAGAGCAGTGATTATTTAACATTTTGTGGAGCTACAGGAGAATGTGGGTATTTTACGGGATTTAATTTCCACACAGGTTGGAATTGTTTTAACATTGGGGAAGTGTAGAATCTGTTTCATTGTGATATTTTTGTGGTTAAATAATTTCCTGATCATTTTAGCTTGCCACTTGGTTGGATATCCCAGTGCGACTGGCATCAGTTAAAATATATATCAATGACCATTGATGGTCAAAAACCTTGGCAAAGGAAGATATTGTGGAGGGAGGAAAAGTAGCAGTTATTATCTAGGAGCAGATTGTTAATCACTGAAATACTTGTTAAAGAATTGGAAAAGATAAAATAATAATTAAATTGCACATTGGTTCAGTGCAATGTATAAAGCTAGCAATATGTTTTATTTATGTAGGAAATCAACAGGAGTTACGCTTTGTATGGTGCATATCTATCATTACAGGCCCCGTCATTTATTCGAACTATGTGGATCTGTTATAAAAATAACAGCTTTTGTAGTAAGGCAATATAGCTCTGCATAATTGAAGCTCAATTAAAGCATACTAACATATAGATGCATTTTATTTAATGGATCCTTCTTTGAACTACAGACCTATCAATATTTCTTAACCAAGGGAACTCATATTAGTTATATTTTTATTCACATGAAGGAGGATTGAGAATAGATTTGGATTTGGCTTAAGGAAGGACATTCTATGTTCATTTATATCACAAACCATTGCAATCAGATATTTCAGTCTGCTGTCACAGCAAGAACAATGTTTTACAAATTATATGTTTCACACAGGTACACATTTCTATAGTTTGCAATGACAGGCTTAGAAACAACTAGACTTAATTAACTTGATATTAATATTTATGTGGCTCCATGATATGGAAAGCTAGAAAGAAGAAATAAGATTATGGAAATGCCAAAGGTCTCATTCAACAATGAACAGTTAGTAGGTATTTGAAACATCGTACATCACAATTATAATACTTTGATCAGTAGGTCTGTTAGATGTTATAAATACAAGCTTAATAGTTAAATAGTTATTTTGTCCTCTTAAGTAGGGGGGCCATCTATCAGAATTTAAATGATGTCTAGAAAATTTGACCTGAAAAAAAAAGCCAAATTTGTGTATTTTAAATTAAATCCCAAGTTCCACTTTTGTGTTTCACTAAAACTATACTGATTCAAAGTTTCAACACCTTTCTAATGCAACAAAGGAATTGAAATGCTAACCATTACCCCACCTTCTTGCTTTTAGCAAAAGATGGCAGCCCTACAATTGGAAAAGGTTATCAAAGTCCATGAGAAAATAGACAGGGACCATGCCAAACCAGTTGCATCAACACAAGATGGTTTGCCATTTTGGCAGAGACACATGTGCTCACGATCTCTTCAGGCAACAAGCCTTCAAAAAAAAAGTTGAAGTCATTAGTAAAGTGATTCTCTGCTGATGCAGAATTAGATGTTTTCTCTATTATCGTGCTTAGATATTTAATTGTTGCAAACGAGTGAGGAAAATGCCATGACAATTCATGCATTTCTCTATCTAGAAATATTTGAAGGTTGCCACAACCGATGAGACCATTTCCTATAAGTACAAATGATAGAAGCAGTGAATGATTTGAGTGAGATGGTATGTCATTCTCCTTTTCAACACAGAACCTGTAAAAAAAATCAGTTTAAAAACTGGAGGGATATTATTCAATTAAAAAGTACAAAGCCACCAAAGGATGAGCTGTTCATTTCTGTGAGAAAAATAAGAAAGCAGAAAATAAATAAATCAAAATACCTGTTTGAGCTTCAGTGTATAGTGGTTTTGTTTGCTGACCATGGCTTATACCATAGATGGAAACCTCATAGTCAGTAGCAGCACGCAGATGTGGGATGTCTATGGAAAACTGATCACCTGGTACTGTGTATGTTAATGGTTCGAACAACCCATCTGAGTCTTTAACATCTATAACAAAGCTTTCAAAGGACTCATCAGCTGTCCAAGAGAGTTTGAAGCTGCCGGAGGTAACTTCCGAGACCATTAAGTTTTCAAGTTCAGATTCTGGCGAGGTAATAAATATTGTGAAATATTAAATTACGAACTGTGAAGCTGTACGAGATAAAAGTCTACAATCACTAACTTGCCATCGCACAGTCTGGAAGATAATGAATCATTAACTGTTCAGAGGTGACAAGAACAAGCCTGAAGCAGATCACGAAATTAACACATATAAAGCACAGGAAACACATATGCAATGACTGGTAAATGAGAATCTAAAAGTGATCCAAAAAATGAGGTAGCATTAGTGTGGAATGAAATGATGGTGAGAAGGCAGCATAATTCCATTCAGTACCACTGTGCTTGAAAAAAAAACAAAAAGACACAGTTACCTGTAAAAGAATATATTAAGTGAGAGTATGTGCATAATGCTACTCATGAACAGTCAAATGAGCTTATCCTTTTATCATGGAAAGGGAACATTAGTCATTAACTGCCTGGTGTTTTGTAAAAATGTCCAAAGCAATGAGTTATTGTTCAGATGATATTTTCCATTCACTAAACTACAATGCATTCACAGCAATTGGCTTTAATTATTGCCCTGCCCTAAGTATATATATTATATTGCAATTCCAAGATGTTAAATAGATTGTGTTGTATCATACCCTGGAAATTCCTTATTAGTACTGAAATGCATTTAGCCAAAAAATAATATTACTGATAGTGACTGAAGTCTAAGCTATAAACAAACGGGAAGAAAAGGTCCTCATGATACCTCAATTTCTAACATCACTATACATTGTGGAACTGAGCAATAAAGACTTGGATTGTAAATATTTCTAACACAAATGGATGATGGGGAGAAGTGATCGTATTGTTGTTCAGTCTCTTTGATGGATCATCTACACATGTGCATGTTAAGTTTCTGGTGAGTTGGCTCATCTCTATAACTGGCCTCCACACTCATGAGTTGGGGCAGGAGGGAAATTGGCCTAGGAATCTTGGCTTAAATCCCTGTCAAATTGTCCTTAATGGAAGTTTTAGCTGTGTACTTTTGGGAAGCAAGCATAACCGCAATGATATCCCATTCAGTGCCCTTACTGTCTGGGGTTCACACATCAAGATCTGTCACAGGAGGACATTGCTGTCTGTGCGCTGTGAATCAGCACCTTCTGGAAGAGAAAATAAGCTGCTGAGGAAATTCTAAAAGCCATCAAATGGATATGTTTTTTGCATGCAATGCCTGTCATTTTCAGCTGATTTACATGAGATGCCTGGAACACTTTCTGTACCCAAGATTAAAATGTGAAAGGGGACATAGAGCAAAGGCCCTGGCCTGAATGCAATCTCATTTGCAAGAATCACAGAATCAACTTTATTTATGACATGTCACTAACCCGAATTCCCATTTAATGAATCTGTATGCTTGGAGAGGACCTTTCCAAATTTACATTGTAAGTATTCACTTTGAATAAGTGCTCCTATAAGTTCTGAAAAACACTTCAGTTGCTGTGGTGTTTACATAAAAAAAAGTATAGAATCCATACAATGTGGAAACAGGCCATTTGGCCAACAAGTCCACACCTTACGTGTATCCTATCCCTGTAATCCTGCATTTCCCATGGCTAACACACCTAACCTACATTTCCCTGAACTCTATGGGTAATTTCACATGACCCATCTACCTAACCTGCACATCTTTGGATTGTGGGAGGAAACCAGAGCACCTGAGTGAAACCCACACAGACACAGAGAGAACGTGTAAATTCCACACAGTCACCCGAGGGTGGGATTGAACCCAGGTCCCTGGTGCTGTGAAGCACCAGTGCTAACCACTCTGTCATTGTGCTGCCCTCATTATACAGGTCTTAATTCAAAAGTGTACCCCAGAATTGCAGCAAAACGAATACATTTTAATCTCAGTTTGCAACAAGATTCTGTGCTGTAGTCCAATGCAATGAATAGTCTCACATAACTAGATCAAGAATAATTACATCCCAAAACATACTGTAAAATGTCATGCCATGTCCGTTTTGCAACACTTGGACAAATGGGACAGAAAGCATACATTGGCCGGAAGCAATGAGAGAGTTAGAAATGTATGCCTATCGCATGCAGAAAGGCAACAAATTCTCCTGCTTCCTAAACAGAACCAGTTGCAGCTCAGCACGGATGGAGGTGAAGAAAAAGTTGTGCCAATGAATGACAAGCGTATGGAATGAGAATAAAATATTTGACACTGATCCTCTCCTAAGCAATGAAAAGGAGGAGGTGAAAGGTGGTGCGTTGATGAGAGAAGAACTGTTTGACATTAAGAAATACCTGTTCTTGCAAAATCTTTCAGTGGTTGTGACAGCCGGCCTTGGAATATTCCATAAAGATCAATTTCGTACTCAGTGCCAGCTACCAGCCCTGTTACATTAGTTGTGTGCTGATCACCTGGTAGAGAAATCTTCAAAGGGACACTCAATGCATTAACATCCTTTATTATTAAAAGAAAACTATCAAAGTGTCCACTCGGCGCTGTCCATGATACCTTGAGGCTGGTGGAAGTTATATTTTTTACCAGAAGATTCTCTGGCTTGGCAGCTCCTGAGGTTGGAGAATGTGTGGTGGTACTGTCAAAGGATTCTGTAATAGACGTTTGCGGATTAGAATTAGATGATCCATCTTTTTTGCTCACAAACTGGCTGATTGGGAGAGACCCTTGCTCAATGAATGTCTCCACCTGAGGTTCCCACAAGTGTGAAATGGTACATCAGAAGTCACATTCCCTTCCCCATTCCCACAACAAAAAGCTTCGTTATATAGAATGATCCCTTACTGAGTTGTGAAAAATAAAAAAAAAGGGTTCCCCTTAAGTTTATATTTTTGCTGTATGCCAGTTTAATGCTGACATTTTACAATAGTCAAACTTAAAACTTAAAACACTAATCTAATCCACGTTTTTGGAGGCACCAATTTTAGAGGCATTCCTTTCATCAGAAGTCTGATTCTACTATTTGCTTCCTTGCATCTGCAATTGCATTTTGTCTTGTTCCAAAAAAAGGTCTTTGGACCCCAAATGTTAGCGCTGTTTTTTCTCCACAGATGCTGCCAGATTTGCTGAGTTTCTCCAGCAATTTTTGTTTCTCTTTGTTTTAGTTCTCCAGCATCTGCAGTTCTTTATATATTTTGTTTTTGATTTGTTCAGTCATTTCTCAAAAGTAATAAATACTGGCCTAGCCAGTGACAACTTTTCCGATGTGTGGCTTGGTGAGTATCAAGACTCCTCCGGAACCTGACCTGTGTGATCACACTATGTCAGCTGAGATAGTGAATGTTGGCAAGCAATTTGAGCACATGGAAAGTGCAAGGCAGCATCGCAACTTGTTCCTGCCATCACCTGGCATTCACCCACACATGGCTTGCAGCTAAAGTCAGTGGAAAGCAATTAGAAGCGGGAAGCCTGGCTGAGATTTCCTCCTGAGGCCACTATTACTGAGGCCAACTGGAGCATCTGGCTCATACCCAGAATGAGATCAGCAAGCTGAATCCATACTGGGAACTGAACTAGATTTCTTTTCTAAACTGTAAGCCTTGATATTTAACGGTCCATCGTGGAGTCGCAATTTAGTCTATGAATTATAAATATTGATCAATTGTTAGCAAATGCGTCTACAAAGGAGATATATGTCTGGATTAAATTGGGACACAAGTAGGCCATTCAGTCCCTCAAGCTTGTTGTGATATTCCATCAGATCATGGCTGATCTGTATTTCAATTCCAGCAGCCTATTCTCCATGTCCCCTGATAATCTCAACAAAAATCTGTCAATCTGAGTCAAGATAATTTCAATTGACCCAGCATCCACAGCCTTTGGGGAGAAAGTCATGCTGTCAGCTGCCTATGTTCTAAGCTCTGGCATTCTCACTTTCTTTACACCTTTTCAAATGTTGCTTAAAACCACGCTGTTTAAGCTTATGGTCACCTGCAGAAGTCATCATTTGCCTTGGTTTGTTTAGTTTGTTTATGTTCTCCTCTGAAGTATCTTGAGTCATATGACTCATGATGGGATCGAACGAAGGTCTGTAGCATACTTATAGCATAACCTCTTCATATCAAGAAACTGCTCCAGCAGTAAGGATTGTCATTCCATTTCCCTCTTAAGTGACTTTTTTAAAAGCCTGTGTACCAGTTTTAGTGATTAATTTATATGGACACCTACCCTCCTTGTCTTCTTGAAGTCCCTGGTCTCTCAGTGTGAAGAAAACATTCAGTTTTGTCTTTCTCACTGAAGTAATGTACATGTTCCCACACTTCCCACATTGAATTTCTTCTGCCAAAGTTGCACTCCTTTAGTCTGTCTATTCGTCTTTGTAATTGTTTTCTCCTGTTTACACGATATACTCTGGCCCTTAACATAGTGTCCTCTGCAGATTCAAATATACAACTCTCTACTCCTTCATTCAACTCATTTGTGTCTACTCCTTCATTCAACTCATTTGTGCACACGGTGAAAGCTGAGACTCAAATACATATCCCTGAGGAACACCATTTGTAACATCACACAATCATGGAACTCCATGTTAATGCCTAGTCTTTGCCTTCTACCTCCTCACTAATTACTAACCCAGTTCACAAAGTCATTTCCAATTACGTGCACATTAAAAAAAAAATTCCTTTTTCAGGATTTTATGAAATGCAATTTTAAAATAACTCAGCCACAACCTGAAGTGTAAGAATAAAAATCAAATTATTAGTACTGACAACCAGAATCCTAGGGTCAATTTCTGCTTGAAATTTACTCTTCCTGGATACTTAGTTCATGATTGGTGTACTTTTGTAATTTTTTTTGGTTTTAGGAATAAAATTTTAACAGTAGACAAAGGGATAAATGCAATTAAAGAACTTTGAAGCCGAGTACATTCATAAGGTCAAGGGCATGTTGCTTTAAAGGTTAACAGCTAGGATGGTAAGGTAATGATAATGCTGGGCTTTAATCATTGCCAGAACACTTACAAAAAGGTATTTCAGAAGGTTGTTAATTGAATCAGAATAGAAGAGATGAAATTATAAAAACAGTAGATGAGCTTACTTAACTGAGGATGTGGTGCATACAATGCTTACAGTAACAACAATACAGGAGAGTCAGAACCAAATTAGATTAAAAACATTCAATCAACCTTCAAGGTCGATTTAGGGACAGTCTAAAGCAGGTGATGTAATTGTGGAGATGAGTGGAGCTTAAGAAGGTTCTCTGGTTTTAATTTATCTGAGAGTTTGTTTACTGGGACAGGTTCTTTGGAATTTGGAGCACGAAGAGAACTAAAGCAGAAGAAATGGCTTCAGGCAGCACAGGTACTGCCGTTGTCAGACTTGAGACAGCTAGGCCTCAGGAGACTCATACCGTGGAAAAAATGCTAGGGATTGCTACCACAAGCAGTATTTGTTTGCTTCAACCAAGAAGTGCTGGAGCTTAGAGAAATTCAGCAGCAACTTGATTAAGTTACATGTTTGATAAAGGTTGAAACAGTACTGGTAATTGGATGTTTGGGAGCAGTGTTAGGAATTTTGAAGCCAAGTCTTGGGAAAAGAAGTTGAACTACCAAGCTATGAGAAGTTGTTGTGGCAGTTCAAGATGGAGAGGCTTCAACAGCATTTCAAGGCTAGATCTTTAAAAGTGAAGAATTGCAATCCCTTGAAGTTGTAATAAGAGTTGGTGACCCAGAGTCTCACGAACATCTGGCTGGGATCTATCTTGATCACATTAGCCACATAAAATGAAGTCTGAGAACAACTTTCTGTTGACTCATATTTTCCCATGTTAATCCTCATTGGTAAAGTCTACATTGTGTATATGATATATTGTTTAATATTATTTTTGTACCAGCTCAGTATACCTCTTTAATCATTATAACTGATGTTTATTTTGGTCAAATTTGCCCACTACATATTATTTTTGTTCCATTTTATTCTTATCTGCAAGTCTTGCAACTTATTATCTATCCTTTGTTCATCAGTACCTTCTTTCTGTGAAAAGATTATGGTCTACTATCTAGATCATAACAAAGATCTGGCTTGTCTGGTATTATCATAACTGGGATCATAAAACACTGTCACTGTATTTTGCTATCTGGTAAATATTGTTTGAAACCAATCACAGAATAGATAAAGTGAAGAAAAAGATCATTTAGCCCATTATGTTTGCTCTTTGAATGAGCGTCATGGCTTAGTTCCATCCTCAAAAACTTTCATGTAACCTTGTACAATATTTAAATGAGCATCTAACACCCTCTTAGCTGCTTCAATTGAGCATGCCTCCAGCACACTTCCAGGCAGTGTATTCCCAAATCAAAACATTGGCTGCGAGAAGGAGTTACTTCTTTCATATTTACTTCTTTTGTAAATCACTTTAGATCCGCGTCCCCTTGTTCTTGATCTGCTTATGACTGGAATAGCTTCTCCCTACCTACTCTGTCCAAAGGCTGGGAGGAAGACAAACCCTGGGAGTCATTGATTGATCAGTGCTGTTGGGAGTGGGGTTGATTTTGGAAACTTCAGTCAAATTCCTTTGTAGCTTTCTCCACTTCAAGGAAAATATTCCCAACTTCTCCAGTCCATCTTCACAACCAAGCTTTCCCATCTGTGAAATTATTCTTGCAAACCACTTATGCAATATTTTTACATCTTTGCTAAAGTGTGTCCCTGCACCTCCCAACCCCACCATCTCCAATTTATTCACAATACTCCAAGTGCGGTATAACTAGTGTCTCACATGGTTTCAGTATAACCTCCCTGCTCCTGTACTCTATGCCACTATACACAGATCTTAGAATACTGTGTTTTATGAACATTCTCTTCACCTGTCCGGCCACCTTTACTGACTCATTCAGAAGTTATGCACCCAGGCCTTTCCACTCCTGCACACTTTCCACAATAGCACACTTTATTTTAAACTGCCTCTTTGCTCCAAAGTGTATCACCTCTTACTTCTCCACATTGAACTTCATCCACCCACTCCACCAACCTGTCAATGTCCTTTTGAAGTTCTGCACTGCCTTCACAGTTTAACATTCCCCCAAGTTTTGTGTCATATGCAGTCTTTGAAACTGTCTATTATACTCAATCAGGAAAAGCCAGGGTACAAGAATTGAGCATGTAAGACCATAAGAAATAGGAACAGGAGTAGGCCATTTCACTCGTCTAACCTGGTCTGCCATTCAATAGGATCATGACTCATATGAGGTTGGGACTCAAACAACCAACATTTTTCTAGGCTGAAAAATATCCATTACGCTTTGTTTCCTATTGCTCAGCTAATTTTGGATCCAAGTGGCTCGTATCCCCAGTATTCCATGAATTATAACTTTTCTCATAAATCCATTATATGGAATTGTATCAAATAACTTTTGGAAAAACCACATTAACAGCATTACTCTCATCAACCCTCTCTATTACCACTTCAAAGAAATTCATTGAAGTTACCTTAATATGGTTTTCTCTTGAGAATCCTCTCCCTAATTTACTCATATTTGTCCAAGTGACTGTGACTTCTATCACAAATTATTATATCTGGAAGTTTCCACATGACCAACGTTCAACAGACTGGTCTGTATTTGCTAGGATTTTCTTTGCAACTTTTTGAACAAAAGCCAGATTCTGAATTGGTACTTCAGAGCTACTTTTCCTGCTACTTCAATGTTCTGCTCCTTTCATAGTTAGACTCACTGGTGCTAAAGTGAATGTGGGATTATGCCAAAGTGTAAAAGCATGAAATCTTTGTATTTGAATAAAGGAAAATTAACGCTTCATGTTTCAATAGCTTCATCATTGGAATCATCAGTATTTCATTTAATATTGTGTCTGGAAAACCCAAGCCAATATTATCATAGGCATTTTCAACTGGGCAAATAAAAACCAAAAGAACTGCAGATGCTGTAAATCAGGAACAAAAACAAAGTTGCTGGAAAAGCTCAGCAGGTCTGGCAGCATCTGCGGAGGAGAAAACAGAGTTAATGGTTCGGGTCCGGTGACCCTTCCTCAGAACTGAACTTTCAACTGGGCATTGGTGTGACTGCAGTCATGGAATGGCTAGGATCCAGAATGCAATGTCTGAATGTCTTGTCAAGGCAGCTTCATCCAAGGTTTTCAACAGGGAATTGAGTCATAAACTAAAAAGAAAATATTTGTAGGAGTGTGGGGAAAAGTTGTGGAGTGCCACTAGCTGAACTGCTCATACAGAGAGCCAGCAGAAAACCAATAGGCCAAATAGCCTCATTTTCCACTGCCACCAGTCTACGATTCTATGATGTATGCAATATAAATCACGTCCCCTGCAGCACCAAAGGGAATGACTGGGTGTACAAGTTTGCCATTGATCTAAAGGAATGTTGGTTTAGACATTTATACATTGATTTCAAAGAAACTAAAATAAATTGCTTTAATGTGTCTGACCAAAGTGGCCAAAAAAAATCAGGTAGAGGGGAAGAAAAATATCTAATAAACCTTGGTTCCCTGTGTGTGTTTTCTTTTCATCTTTATGACTTTGCAACAGTTCAATAATATTAATGGTATGACTGTTTCTCTAAGCATAGATACATGACAAAACTCTTACACTTTGACTCACCCTGATAATTCCCACAAGTTCTTTATGAAAGTGCAGATTTTCTAAGCTTGATGCTAACTCTCCACAACTGTAATGATTTGTTCGTTGATATTTTGGATTACAGAAGTCTAGCAATTTGAAAATTGTTTAGCAACACGTGAAGGTCTAGGTTGGTATGAAAGATATCCACATATTTTGCATAAAATGTTTTTATAATAGCAATGAGATGAAGCAATACCATTTTCATGTTAACTTCCAATTGCCTTGGGCCCCATACCATCTATCAGATCCTGACAATGGTAAAATATTCTACACTTGCTGTCCTGCTAAAAGGAGATGAATGCAAATGACATGCCTCTAGCATCTATGCAGAAGCATTTTGAAACAGAATTTGATTTACAAAAGGATGAGGGTCATATGGTTGCATTGTGGTTTGCAGAAATTTGAATGGATTGTACACAGTGTGGCACAGGTATAGGTTTGACTTGTGATTCTCTAAGCCAGCTTTAATCTCATGCTTGGGAGATGTTCAAAAGAAGTCAAACCTTTTTCATCAATCAGTAAGAGAATAATTCACAGAAGAGAATTCATATGATCATCCTGGGCCTAGTGCCTGGAGAATCAAGGTCAGGTCTCTTCAGTACTGGAGAGACAGCAGTAAAATGGAAAGCAAGGAAATCAAGGATAACGAGGTGTAGAGCTGGATGAACACAGCAGGCCAAGCAGCATCAGAGGAGCAGGAAGGCTGACGTTTCGGGCCTAGACCCTTGCCCAAAATGTCAGCCCTCCTGCTCTTCTGATGCTGCTTGGCCTGCTGTGTTCATCCAGCTCTACACCTTGTTATCTCAGATTCTCCAGCATCTGCAGTTCCTACTATCTCTGAAACAAGGAAATCAAATTTATTCTTTACATGATTTTCCATTGGTGATTGAATTATATTAAAAATCCACTTTATATCTGAACTCATGACGGAAGATTAATAGGAATTAATATGATTAGTAGCATTAGGAATCAATGTCTGAGGCTTAACAAATCTGACCAGCCAACATAAAAGGTGGATTAAATCTATATCTTTAGAGTTCCTAATTATTAGATTCAAACCACTACAGTTTGACCAAAGGTAAATGAGCAATGTCATTTCTAGCCATTATTGCAAATGTATCAGTACACATTCACCTTCATATAATGAAATGCTGTCCCCTCCACATTTCACTTCAGCTCTGATGAAGAGTTATCTAGACTCAAAATGTTAACCTTGCTCTCTCTCCATGGATGCTGTTTGACCCGCTGAGATTTCTAGCATTTGTTGTTTTCAGTAAGAAGCCTAATACGTTCAGTACCATATTTTATGACAGCGCAAAACCCTTAGCCATTTCACTTCCACTATTAACTAAGAAGTCCATCAACTGGCCTTCATCTACATCATGTTTCAGTAGTTCTAGTTATATTCTGTTGGTTTTCCATGGTACCATGCTGTGCATTCAGTCAATCAATCACTGGAATATTAGTCCGAAAAGACTTTCTGCCTACCAGACAATTGAGCAATATCATGCGCAAATTTCTGTGCTGGTATGACGCCAGCACATATAAGGCATACATACCAGTGGTTGATTGGTCAACTCGAGCTACATGACGTTGGTTGTTAGTAATAAGCAGAATGCAGACTGTACTCAATGAGCCTGTGCTTACAAAACCCAAAATATAATGTCTGTTTTCAAATGTGATTCTGCGATTAGGCTGCACATGAATAATCCAAGTGTGCTTATAGCTACACTAGTAACCAATTTAAGATAATCAGTTGAATTTGTAGTGCAATTAATTTGCTTACTGGAAGAGAACATACAAGCACACACAGGGCCTATTTGCTGCAAACAAAGGAACACGTTTAACCCTCGGCTTTGTTTTTAACTACCCAGGAGGAATGGGGACCTTATAGACACCTTTTGCTTACTACATGGCAAAACCATGCTTAATCAGAGTCAACTTGCTAATCAATCAACACCTTGTCTTCCTGTAGTATAAATTATTGTGATCATTTGAAATTTTGCATTCTTGCCTTTGTCCTGATGAGTACAAATACAAAAAGCTTTAGCAACATGTCTTTTTGTTTCCAGCAATATTTAAAGCTGTCTTACCAACAGACTTTTAACAAACTTTTTAAATTTAAAGTCAGGGGTATCCAAATCCAAATGTGCAGTTTGGGATTATCCTGAATCCTAAACTTTGCAAACACTGGATCCCTATCAAGGCATAACTCCTGTGCATTTCACACATTAGTCCGTTATAAGTAATTTATCCAACACACTGCCAATGATTATATTTTATGACACTGCTGTGTTTGTATTTGCCATCTTCACTCACAGTAATTAATGGTTTTGTACTTAGAACTATGTGAAGGCATGCTGTGATCAATATTATTGTAAAAGGGAGGAAGATTCTGTACATTTGCAAACTGAGGACAGAAAGAGAGGTATACAGGGAAAGGTTGTGAATAAAAGAAAAATACCTGTTGTGACTTCTGCATTCAAGGGATCTGAACGCCATTCTCCCACAAATCCGTATAAATATACCTTATAATGTGTACTATCCAAGAGACCAGTTACCTCCGTGCTATGTAAGTCACCATTTAGGGCCATTTCCAGTGGTCCATATAGCCCAGTGGAATCTGTGACCACTATAAGAAAGCTGTCAAAAGATCCATTTTGCAAAGTCCAAGAGAGCTTAATACTTTTGGAAGTTGCATTTACCACAGTAAGGCTTCCCAGTTTACTATGCAACACCCCTTTCTCTGAATCAAATGTGGGGCCATGGTTAAAACTTCCGTCTTTGTGCAGTCGAGCAGTGAGGGATGTTGTATGATCTATCAGCTTGCCAAGTGGGTTGTTTAAGACAGCTAAAAATAATTTTGAAGGAATAATGTTTCAAAATGTCAGGCCATCAACAGAACAATAATAAAACAACATTGACAATGGGTCATGCTTCCAGTTACACAATAACATGTATTGGTTTACTTGCATTTTATTATCTAAATCCTAGCTATCTTACAAGGAAAGTTGTCTCACAAATTGACTGTAGGAGCTGAGCTTCATGTTCATGGCCAATTTTGTGAATGTGGTAAATATTGCAACTTTAAATGACTATCATTTTAGCAGTAACTGGAAGCAATCTGGAATCCACTTAAAGATAAAACTGGTCATTGCACGACATCAGTTCCAAGCAGCAGCATTTGGTTTCTCAGACAGGCATCTACTACAAATTCCAGCACCCAGCTATTTATGAAGGACAAAATGGTATTGGGAGAAATTAGTATTAAAGGAAATGAGGAATTAAGCAAGTTCAAATATTCAGAATTGGGGAGTAGGTTGGTTTAAAGGACTAATACAGTATTAATAAACACAGATAAGATTTCAAACATCATGCTTATGTCTAAGTCATGGTAGCATTCTAACCTCTGCTTTCTTCTAATCTAGACAACGCAAGTCACACAGACAGAAAACAGTCACTAAATCCTACGACAAGCAAGTAGCTGAGGACAATTGCCCCTCTAATCATGTTGCCTTTAACTCCATTTCACACACTTTGTACTCCTCTGCCCAACAAAGCTTGTACCATTCCACAAATAACAAAGGACTAGGACAAAAGACAAATCCCATTTGACAACTCTTGAAACAATTAACAAGCCATGCGGCCTGGCATCACTTCTATTCATATTGCGCATGCTGTTTTCATTCTCAAGCTGGAGCCTATTTCTTTCGTTGAGCCTGCGGCAACGTGCTGATGAGAACATTAATGCTAGATCATGCAGGTAACAGCACAACTGGCTGTTTCTAATAGCTGGGATCCTCAATGCAACACCAGTTTTAGAAGACCTTAACATCATTATAAACTGAAAGGCAGTCAGCAGACAGAATTGTAAAGCTAAATACCTGTGGTAGCTATAATGTTCAGCGGCTCTGAGTGTTGATTGCCAGCAATTCCATAAAGAGATATCTTATAAGGAGTGGAGGGCTTTAGGCCTCTTATTTCAGCAGCTAAATCGTCACCAGTCACGGAGATCTCTGTCTCATCATCGTTTCCAAGCTCACTTCTATACTTTATGATAAAATAGTCATAGAATCCTACGTCTGCCATCCAGGAAAGTTTGACACCATCCGAGGTTACATTGGAAACAGTTAGGTTACTGACTTCACCATCACCAGTCCCGGAAAACTCAGGCACCGACGCTTCTAATATCAAGGAAACAAGTGTGGATGTTATTCTTCCATACGGAAGAGGAGTGGTAGCCTCCTCCAGAGTATCTGTGAATGCTGGCTCCAATATTGCTACAAAAGGTAGTTCAAATATTTTAGTGCAAATCTGTTCAGTAGTATTGAAGGAGGGAAAATTGTTACAATTGTTTGCATTGTTTAATCACAAGTAGTTGTCAGCTGCTGTATCTGGATTTACAGTGATTATACTTAAGCTCTTAGAAATAAAGTTAATAGCCTGAAAAAGATGCAATTGAATGGATTAGCTTTCATCTTGGTTCCTGCAAGTGACCTAATTAAATGGAAATAAAAACAGTGTTAGAAACAATCAGTCTGCTTTTCGATTACAACAGTATGAAATTATTCCCTGAAAATTGGTAGGAGTTGGAGGTGGGGTACAGGTCTGTGCTCAGGCCCAAAGTTAGTGTGAGTGGACTGGAACCGTCTTCATAAGAACGTAGTGTGTCCCATTTTCCAGTTTGACCGCTCATGCGGCACTCCAATGTTGGGCTTCCCCAAACAGATGCCAATGTGTTTTGGCCGGACCCAAGTATTTATGGTGTAAAGGTCAAGGAAAGGTGTCACGATGGGGCTGAAGGCCATAAATTGGAATTCCTTTAAGAAATCCTTCACTACCTCCAGATGTTTAGGCTGATAAGCGACCTCCTGGCAGATCCTATCCACGCCTTATCTTCCTTCCTCTTTATCAATGTTAGATCCTATTATGGCCAAGATTGTCAGGTAGGAAAATAATGTCATGGACCCCCTAAGCTAAATCTTGGATAAAAAATTCCAATGATGTAAAGTTTGGACAGATCCATAGCATTTGGAACAAATATGGGATGCAAATATTATGTCCAGGATTTTGGCAGAGGAGGCAGTACAGGTCAATCTTTCTGGCATTTTGAGTCTTCTGACACCACTCTTCTGTATAAACTGAGGGCTGGAATGTGGACAACCCTGTGAATAGCAAAACCAGGGATCAAGAGGGGTACACTATTTTCTCAGTAATTGCTGGAAAACTGAGGATTCTGAACATGTTGTTCATAGTATTCACAGGTTACATATATTTCAAAATTGAGAGACTTAGAATTCTGCCTTAAATTACATACTTCTGTGCTTCTACCTCTCCGCTGTATGGATCTGTTAGCAACACTTCTTTAAGCATTGAGAAACAGCTCACTGTTAGGAGTGAAACATAATAGAAATAACTGGAAGATAATTAAATTAATAGTACAAGAGAATGTAATTTTGTAATTTATCTTTAGCATTTTGTTTTTGAGTGAAAATATTTTCCTTTTGCAGTAGGCACAGCAGGGAGGGTTGCCTGCAGAACTTGTTTAATGCATGGTAGCATTCAGGAGAAGTTTATTGCTGAGGTTTAAACATTAAAATTGCCTCATGAGTATATTTCCAATCTGATTGCTTGTTACCATGCCAGCTCAAAATGGTGTTAGTTCTATTTTTGCATGGAATAGTATTTTTACCTGAAAACTTCTGGCATCCAGTTTGGTATAAGTCGTAAAATCACAGACTTTTATGCTTACTCTTGTCAAAATTGCAGGAGAGTAGCATTGAAGAATTGTTTTCCTGATATCAAATAAGTTATTAATTTCACCAACATTTTTCAATACATGGTTTTGTTTGCTATTGCTTACATGCATGTATGCACACACAGAGACATGGGTAAATGTTATGAGTTAGTAGTAGCTATTGAAATAAATGATTTTAAAGTAACTCTCCACAATAGAGTTCTTTATATTTCAATATTATTACTTGGCCTTCATGCTGGAAAAAGCAACAATCCATTTATTTTATAAAGTTTCAACCAAGGTCTAAATGTCATGGTGAGATACCTCACCATATGTTAGTTTTTTTAACATATATTACATTGTAAACAGCTCATGTGGAGCTTAAAGCTTAACATGGGGCCATGTTAAGCAAAATCAACAAACTATTTGCAGATTTGTATCAAGACTAACATAGATGTCATTTTGTTAAAAGTTTATGTTTAGTCAGGCAGGTTCCAGTTGAAATGCTTCGTTGATGCCAATACCATGGATGATTGAAGGATGAGTGGGAAAGATTAGCATTCTACTGACTACGTCCAGCAGGGAGCAGATGGAGAGAGTCAACCTTGGGAAAGCTCACATATTTCCAGTAAATTCTATTCTTAAATAGGATTCACAAAATATGCTGCAGCTCATAGCTTGCCCTTGAAAAAGCAGCAATCACATGATCTGAACCATTAGTAAACAATACTAAGATGGAGCTACAGTATTTGGTGAAGTACCTGTAGTGACAGATCCGACCAAGGGCTCTGTTCTTGCTGTGCCTCGAAGAGCCATAAGTGTCACCACATACTCAGTGGCAGGCTTCAAATCAGTGAGAGCAACTGTGGTCTGGTCTCCCTTCACAATAACCTGTTGCGTTTCTCCGTGGCTTTTAGGATTATAGTTCACAACAAACATGTCAACGGGAGCTGAAGGAGCTTCCCAAGCCACTGAGGTAGTTGTGGGAGTTATCTCAGAAAATTTAAGACCTCGCAGTGCTTCAAGGCCTGTGGAATTGTTTTAAAGAGTAGAGAATTGCATATAAATCCATCCGGTAATACGTTCATGATATATATTCTTCTGAACTGTGACAATATGAAATAAAAAATGTACAAGCTGTACATTTTTCAACTTATCCCCCACTGCTCTTAAAAACTGTCCACTGTTTTCATTTCTGTAATACTTATTGTAAATGCACAGTTCTTTGAAATAGACACTGAAATACCTGGAGACCTCAATAATTACAGTTGGACACTTCAATAATTACATTAGGACTGCAGTTTTGTGCAGTTGGTAGCTAAATAGAAGAATAAATTTTATGTGTCAGTTTACATTGCCATCCTACAGAATAATGGTGGAAAAAACATTCGATCGATCAAGCAACGGAACTTTTAACCAAAAAATGTCATCATGTCTGGCAGGACAGCAGTGAATAACTCTCAAAATAATAAGAGTACATTTGGGATGTTGAAACGATATTGAAATTATCCTAGCCCAATAATTGCAGTATATAATTATTTTGAAATTCTCACATAATTGCTTGAGGTAATTTATGAAGAATTGAGCAGGTGAAAAAAAAAAGCCAAACTGTTAAACTATCTATTGGAAAGAGTATCATGCCCAATTGGAGAGGTGTTTTGCCTTCATAAAGCTTTATGTGTAGTTACTCCTCACAAAATCTCTACGATAGTATAGAAATACAACAGCAACTGCTGGACATTAACAACAAATTGATCAACATCCTGTGAAAATCCTTCAACATAGCTTCATGTAATATAGAACAAGCATTGGAAACATCAATCCAACTTAAACTTTTCCCTATACTTTCCCTAGACTTATGTATTTTCAACATTTTCTCTCTCACTTTTGAGTTTTGGAGATTCAAAATTTTTCTTTTAAAACTTGGCCAATGTCTTAAAAATATTCAGTAACATATTTTCAGTTTTCATTGCCCGATTCCATATGGAAGTGAATGAGATGTAGATTCAAACAGGGAACTGGTTTCCATTGGGATCCTGTTCTAATGAGTTAAGTTTCCTTTAGGTGGAATGCTGTAGGTGATATGGCTTAACCAACAAACATATTTGACATGGGTGTGTGGAAGTTCATACAGAGTGCTTCCTGCCAGTGAATGATGTGGTGGTCAAGGGCTGCCTGCTAGTTACAGAAACAATGGAAAGGGGATTTTGAGAGAGTTTGCCAAAAGGGTAATGATGAGGGATGGCATAGGGGACAATTGGGAGCACAAATTAATTCGTCAGGGCCAAGAAATAATCCTTCTTATTGAGCCTCCACAAAACAAGTGCTTGCCTTTACCTATGTTTATGGTATCTTATCAAGATACACAGGTGAAGGGCTTTATTTAAGTGTATGGGAAGATGATGACATAGTGATAATGTCAGTGACCTAGCAATCTAGAGGAACAGGCTAATGACCTGGGGTTTATAGGTTCAAATCCCACCATGTCTTATGGAATGAATAAAATCTGGAATTCAAAGCTAGTCTCACTAATGCTGACCATCAAATTCTAACTGGCTGTTTTAAAATATCTACCAGGTTCACTAATAGTAGAAATTTGTCATACCTCATCTGCCCTACATGTAACTTCAAATCCACAGCAATGTGCTTGACACTTGCCTACACTCTGAAATGGTCCAGCAAGCCATTAAGGTAAAGAGATGAGCAGCTAGCAATGCTCACATTCCAAAGTAAGAGTTCCTAGTGCACTTACTAAGATAGAAGGCTGGGATTCAGGTAGCGAGCAGGAGGTGGGCGTATCTAATACTACATTCTGAAAAGTATTAGTGTCTAGTTTTATTCTTCATAAACTGATAAAGGGATTAAGTTAACACCCCAACAGCCCTCTTAACTTTCCCACCATCTGTCAGCAAGCATCAATCTCAGAGCAATATACTAGCTTCCCCATTCCTGCTGTTATTTGGGGGTCCTATAACTGATATAGGACATAAATTCATCGGCTTCCTGCCTGGTTTAGTTGAGTGCCTTGCCTGCATGCAGAAGCCTGTGTGGTAACGTTGAAGACAGATGGAGAGGATTGATAGCCAAACCTCACAAATCCAAATCAACCCCTTAAACTGTATCTAAATAATTTAAGTAATGAGATGTCTCATCGTTTAGCCCGTTAGATTGTTTCTCATATTTGCTTTCTAAGGAACTTAAAAAAAGGTTCAAAACTGGCATGTAGCTAATGTTGTTCCTCTGTTCAAGAAGGGAAATAGGTAGAATCCAGGAAACTACAGACCAGTGAGTCTCACATTGGTGGTTGGGAAGCTATTGGAGAGAATTATTAGGGATAGAATTTACGCACATTTAGAAAAGCATGGCCTAACTGGGGACAGTCAACATGGCTTTGTGCAGGGCAGGTCATGTCTTACCAACTTGATTGAATTTTTGGAGGAGGTGATGAAGGTTATCAATGAGGGTAGAGAAGCGGATGTTGTTTACATAGATTTTGGTAAGGCTTTCAACAAGGTCCCTCATGGTAGGCTCATCCAGAAGATTAAGATGCATGGGATCCACGGTGACTTGGCTGCATGGATTCAGAATTAACTTGCACATAGAAGATAGAGGGTTGTGACAGAAGGGTGTTTTTCAGGCTGGAGATCCGTGTCTAGTGGTGTTCCGCAGACATCCATATTGGGACCTCTGCTGTTCGGAGTATATGTAAAATGTAGTTGGTTGGTTAGTAAGTTTGCAGATGATATAAAGATCGATGGAGTTGTGGATAGTGTAGAAAGTTGTTGAAGGATACAGCAGGATATAGATCAGTTGCAGATATGGGCAGAGAAATGACAGAAGGAGTTTAATCCAGGTGTGAGGTGTTGCACTTTGGGAGATCAAATGTTTGGGAAAAGTATATGGTTAATGGCAGGACCCTGAACAGCACTGGTGTACAGAAGGATCTTGGGGTTCAAGTCCATAGCTCCCTGAAAGTAATCACACAAGTAGATACGGTGGTAAAGAAGGTGTATGACATGCTTGGCTTTATTGGCTGGGGAATGGATTACAAGAGTCAGGATGTCATGTTGCAGCTTTTATAAGACTTTTGTTAGACCATATTTAGAGTTTTGAGTTCAATTCTGGTTGCCACATTAGAGGAAGGATGTGGAGGTTTGGAGAGGGTGCAGAAGAGGTTTACCAAGCCACTGCCTGGATTAGAGGTCATGAGCTATAAGGAAAGGCTAGAAAAACTCGGGTTGTTTTCTCTTGAGTGGCGCAAGCTGAGGGGAGACTTGATAGAAGTCTATAAAATTATGAGATGCATAGACAGGGTTGATGGTCAGAATAATTTTCCCAGAGTTGAAGTATCTCATACTAGGGGGTTTGCATTTAAGGTTAGAGGGGGAAAGTTTGAAGAAGAAGTGAGGACCAAATTTTTTACACAGAGAGTGGAAGGAGTCTAGAACTGCCAAAGGTGGAGATGAAGGTAGACAAAATAGGGGCATTTAAGGGACTTTTGGATAAGCATATCAATATGCAAGGAATGGAGGGATATGGGCCAGTGGCAGACAGATGGGATTAGTTGCATTTGGCACCATGTTTGGCACAACAATTTGGGTTGAAGGCCCCGTTCCTGTCCTGTACAGTTCTATGTTCTAACTCAATGGTATTGTTAAAATTGAGAATTTAACATGGCTTTAATAACTTGAAGGGAACTGGTGGAGGATGCAATAAGTAAAGAGTTAGGAACTTGTGTATAACATAACATGTAAGTAAGCCCTCAGAGAGTTTTTCTTCATGATTATTGTCATCATAAAAATCCTTATAGGAAACAGAACATACAATAAGTAAATTTCATATTGCTTTGAAATTGCAAAAAGGGGGAAAACAAACAAAAATCAAAGTATAAATTTATTCATTTCGCCAGTTGAAAGTTTACCCATTTGAATTCTCTAGAAAGTTTAATTAGTGAGTTTTGGCAGCCAATTTCATTAACACACAGCAGATGTTTCCCTATTAGGATTTTAAGTCTCATATTTACATTCCACTGAGGGAGGAGATTCACATATGCATCAGCATTACTTTCAAATGAGAAATTTGATGTATTCAATGATGGAATAGTACAGGTTTTCAGACTAAAAGGGAATCCATTACATTTGTTATGCATTTCTGTTTTTTTTTCCCTCCAAATTTTGTTTTAATTATGTTCCCTCATGGACTACTTCTTGCAGTTTGTCCAACATGGACGTATGATCTATGGTATATTATCAAAGTAGCCCCCATCTATATGTGAACTTTGGTTCCCAGAGTTGGCAACCTCTGTGAATCATGAGACCAATAATGGTCTCGCCAGATGATCAGACATGAGCCGGATCTACCGTGATCAAAAGTTCCCTGGACAATTTCTCCCCCAATGCACTGAGAAGACGCAATTTCTGCAGCCTTAACCATGCTGCACAAATTGGAGATCCTACCTGATTTCTGCCTTCCCAGCATGCATCGGCTCTAGTACCCAATGTGGGGGTGGGATCAAGGACTGGCAGTGGTGCTGATGGTTGAGGGTGACAATTTGTAGAATACAAATTGGTGATGTGGAATCCTCTTCACTTTAATACATTTTAGAAAATTTCAGGCACATTAACGACCCCTGTATAAACCGCTGACCTTTAGGGGAACATTTCCATTAGCTGGGTCTTCTAATAATGTATATAAATATGCTCAAAGGTCAAGATTACATAGCCCTGAACGAGAAAGACAACAGTGTTTTAATCCTACACCACAGTAAGCTTTCTCTGGAGCGTGTGTAAAGGGAAACTTTTTGCAGACTTTAAGTCTGGCACTCTGAACTAGGATAATAATTTATTATTACTTTAAATAATTTCCATCTTCCACTTTCTGCAACATTTGACAAGCTCTAAAAGTTAAAGTTCAGTGGAATAAGGGAGCTGTTCTTATGCTTATAAAGCATTAAATTTGTCTAATACCATCCAGAAGAGAAAATACATAAAATTCTGTTTTGTTTGGCTGGTAAGTTTGACTCCAACACCATGTGGTGCACTTGGCACATGTAAATAATAAATCTTCTGCATTGTGCTGTTTTATGCAGTCACAAGATAGTAGTATAGTTGATCCGGTTTATTTTAGTTTCCTTCATTTAAACATAATGTTGACCTACCCATGGATCTTTCTTTTCACAATTTTAATTAAATATTAAAAGTGCCTGTATGTCAATGACTAGCTAGCTTGTATACATTATAATGATGAATAATACCTGAACTGTGTTTGTATTAGTATCTCTTGTTCCATAGGCTCAGAGACATAAGGGCCATAAAGCAACTCTCTATACCAACATGGGATATTAAGTACATTTTATATAATCAAATTATAGCCCGAGTTCCGTCTAGCATTGCCCAAATATTTCATTACTAAATATAAAAATGAATGAGTCCGACAATTTATTCCATCTGTAAATGCATTTACATCATGGGATTGTCTCTGCAAAGGGTTTGCCAACAGCAAGCTGGGCTTGTTTACAGGACAACCGCGTTGGAAAGTCTGTGATCACTGAACATGTGCTATTGATTATTAACACTCTGCATTACTGTGCAAGGTCCTCTATGTATCCACATATTAACATATGAAATGAATCATTTATTACTAGTTTGTGTTAGATTATAGGGACAGGTCTTGTAAATCACTCAAATCATGCATTTGTTTGAAAAAGGAATATCCGTTGCACAAAAACAAATGGACTAATGTACCATTACTTTGATTATTTCCAGTAGCACATCAAACAGGGAGAGGGCCCTTACAATCTCTGGTGCGCAACAGGAAGCTGACAGGATCAGATTGAAGGCCATAAGAATGACAACAACCCTTCTTTAAATATTGTGCCCCATTGCCTTCTGTAGAGTATAAAACGAAGTTGTCTGGAAAACCAACACTGCACCTAATCATGCTCGGTTTTGCAGTGGACAGATAAAGTTAATATTGCCCTCGACAATCCCACCTTTGTGTTTTTGAAAGAAAGCAACACTGTTGATAGAATCTCTGTGAAGGTAAAATGTTTTTTGAAATGCTTGTCTCTATAAGAACAACGCAGATGAAACATTTATTATTTAAATAAAAAGTGAAGAGATCAAGACGGCATTCGAAAGTTCTTTCTTACCTGTAGAAGCAGTGATGGTGGAAGCCCTGCTCTTCTGTTTACCTCGCTGTGCTATAAGGATAATGTTGTACTCAGCTGCAGGGGCAAGACCAGTCAGGATGTAGGACACTGCATCAGCTGCCACAATGTCCTCATTCTTTTCTTCGGTGGATGAGATATAGATGATGTAGTAATGGTCTATTGTTGCCAGTGGTGGTTTCCATGTCAGAGTAATTGAGTTCTCTGTTGTCTCAATCACTTTCAAGTCTTTTGGACTATCCAAGTCTGCAGAAACAAATGATTAAAATGTTTAAGTGATTGCATTTTTTTGATGCCTGGACTTGGGAGTATACGACTCAATATGGAACATCACCATGTCAGACACTCTTCAATTTTAACCGAGTTTCTGTACTGAGCTTGCTGATGTTACTTTGGCATGACGGAAGCAACTGGCTACTGCACATCTGAGTAGTATAAGGGGAAACAAATCAGTCAAGGCCTTTGTCTCACTTACTAGCCTTAGGTGCACTGCCATCTACAGGCTTAAGAAATTCATTGTCTTGATTGCAAAGGAGTTTATATGTAGCCGAGATACTAAGGAGCAACCATCAGCTGTTGGCTATTCATAGTGAGAGACAGTAGATGGGAATAGAAACTAGAGAGAACATAAAGTGCAACCAGCAATACTGATTTGTAATTTGGTGATCTCAAAGAAATTTCCAAGATTACTTCACAATGTTTAAATGAATGACTGTATCATTTTTGCCATAAAGCTGCCAGATGTTTTAGCTTGATGGATGATTTGGCAGTGATGTGATAAGTTGTTTCCATGATATGAATCCTTTGTTATCTGGTTACTAGGGTCCATTGTCCTGTATTTAATGTATTAAACAAAGTTCACAATGGGAAACTTTTTAATATTCCACCTACTTGAGAACTCTAAAAATCACGAGTGACAATATCATGAGGCATGATGGAGGTTTTCCTCCCAAGTGGAATTACTTGTATTCCAAAGTTTCTGTACAATATGTAGTACCCATTAATGTATCAAACATCTGTATCCCTTTTTTACAAACTATTTCTTAGTATGAATACAATTTGAAGTTTGAGAGTTGCATTGACTGTTTTCATTGACCTCTGGTGAATAATTCGGAGAGGCCAGAATCAAAGACAGTTTGTAGGAGTTAATGTGTTGATGTAATGAGGGCCAGGCCACTGAGAGATGTCCTACTTTCTGTACAGTGATTGATGTTTAATAAAAATCAAGTTTAAATGGTGAAATGTGTAGTGTGGCATAATTATTAGCATGAATGATTCTCCACCTCTTGCAGCTCCTCCATTGTTGCTCCATTACCAGATTGTTTATCTGACTACAGTACTGAATGAGTAGAAGTTTCCTCCAATTAAACACTGAGAAGTGAAGCCATTGCTTTTGGTTCCCACTCCAAACCATGTCTCCTGCCTACTTATTACATCCCTCTCCATGACAAGCTGTCATAACCGTGGTGTCACATTTAATCTGGAAATGAATTTTTACCTCATACTCATCCCATCACCAACACTGCCTGCTCCATCTCATAACATCTCCCATCTTTGCTCTGGTCTCAGTTCATCTGATGCTGAAATCTTCACTCATGCCTTCAATTATGTCAATACGTTGCTTATTGTTGTTCCACATTCCACTCTCTGTAAACTTGAAATCATCCAAAACTCTGCTACCTGCTGTGTTTTAAATCACAGCAAGTCCCATTCTCCTCTCATCTCTGTGCTCAATGGCCTACGTTGGCTCTTAGTCATGCAAAGGCTTGGTTTTAAAGTTCTCATCCTTGTTTCCAGTTCTCTACAAGGCCCTGCCTCGTTCTGTATCTACAATCTCCTCCAGCCCTACAGTACTCCAAGATATCAGCTCTCTTCTAATTTTGGCCTGTTCTGCATTGCAAGTTGTAATCTCTGTACCACTGGTGGCCTTGCCTTCAATTGCATAGCCCTCAAGTTCACTAATCTCTCTACCTCCCTTTATTTTCCTTTAACATGAAACTGAGCCAATCAAATTATCAAGGATGGCTTAAAGAATGAGTCTGATGATGTTTTTGTGACAATTTCCTGGAGCAACAAACGTGCAACTAACTAATGATGAAGATATTTTACATTCAATATTGTGTACTGAAGCAGAACTAATTGATACTCTTATAATGAAATATCTGCTGTGAAATCAATTGTTCTAAATGGATTGAATTCCATGTTAAGCTTGACAACATACAATAGTGCAAAACATTTAAAGAGACGATTCAAAATGATTGACAAAAATGCATTTAATTGAAAACAAGCAAGAATGATCCATCTATAGCCTACTCAGCAATGTAAGGATGGCTTATGTTAAAAAGAAGAGGTTTAAAATTTTGCAAAGAATAGTAGCAAATCTGAAGATTAGAAGTGTCTTAGAAAACAGCAAAGAGTTGCTTTAAAATTGATTAAAAAAAGGGGAAAATAAAATTAGAGCATTCTTAGCCAGCAATATAAAAACAGATTGTAAGAGTACTCACAAGTACATAAAAGGAAGCGAGTGATTAAAGTAAACGTTGGTAATTTAGAAGCAGAGACAGAATAATTGCTGTGCCTTTAAGTTCTGCTTTGTTTTTGCAGAATTCAATGAATTCAGCCTCTTATCAGACACCTAATTCTTACCTGTGGCTACATTAATGGTAGCAGGGGGACTCTCCCGGTGGTCTTTAATGGCACTAACTCCAAAACCATATTCAGTACCTGGCTGCAGATCTGAATAATGCAAAACAGTTCATATTTAATTCAAGATATTTAATATAACAACAAAGTAGCCAAATATTGCTCTTTAAGATACTATTCTTTTCATGGAACACTAAACATAATCTATGCCTTAAGGACGCATCCTGAGATTTACAGATACAGTATATTCAAGAGATGTTCACTTAAGTATTTATGGTAGTAAGCTGTTTATAATGCAAAATATCCACGATAAGTTTATTTCATTAAGTGGTATTGTCCTGGGTGTCTGCTTGATCATGCTGGCTCAGTATTGGGAATTCAGCCTGCCTGAAGCACATATTTGGAATATAAACTGCCAATTATTTTTTCATTAATTTAAATGGAAAAAAACTTGAGCAGGTTCTTTCTCAGGGTGCAGCATGAATCAGGGATTTATATATATTTGCTGCCTGAGGCACTCCTGAGCAGCTCCTGAGATCCAGGATAATCGATTATCCTAAGTGGATGTACAAGAGGAATTAAAAGGCCCTATCACATAATATAACACACTTTCAGAGATAGTAGGAACTGTAGATGCTGGAGAATCTGAGATAACCAGGTGTAGAGTTGGATGAACACAGCAGGCCAAGCAGCATCAGAGGAGCAGGAAAGCTGACATTTCGGGCCTAGACCCTTCTTCAG